CACACACTCACACACACACACTCACACACACTCACACTCTCTCTCCCTCCCTCCCTCCCTCCCTCCCTCACTTGATTTCCACCCTCCCTCTCTCTCCCACTCTCTCCCCCTTTTCATTGCACATGTGATGTCATATACAGACATGGTTAATCTTAAGGATATTGTTCCTTAACTGAAGATGGAAAAGTGTAGTGTTTATTTTAATAGATGTTTTATCTTGGACACACTCACATGTAAAACACAGTAGTCCTTGCACGGACTCCCGGGCGTGTGTGGCGAATCATGGGGAGGGGGTGTGTTGTGGATGGCAGCAGGGGTTCTAAAAGAAAAAAGGCCTCATATACTGTATATATACAAATACAGTACCGTTTCTGTATTACTCACAGTGTTGGTTCTGCTACCAAAGCCAAACTATGATGTAGTTGTGATGAGCCATCCTCAGAGGCAATAATGTATTCTGACTCTTCTTCTCTCTGGATATTTCTGTTGTTTCTCTCGTCTCTCCTCTATTTTCGGGGTGGGGCTGGGGTGGGGGGAATTCAGTAGCACCTAAAGGGGTCGTCGAGTCATGTAGCCTTTCTCCTTGTCTCCCGCTTGCTGTAATTTTGCATTCATGAACGTGTTGCTACCCTCCACCAGAAGGTCTGACCACTTCACCCTTCCCAACTCCAGTTCAATAAAAAACAACCACAAAAGCTACCAAAAAAGAAGACGAGCGAGTACATGTGCTGGTATATTATTATTCATTTTATTATACCAGCATATTTACTGGTTTCAAATGCTAACTGGGTATAACTGGGGCTAAAGAAAAGAAAATATTACAAAAAACATCCTGTATAACAGTACTACTACTTGAATGCCTCTGTTTGTGACTGAAATTTTTATTTCATTTGTTTTTGTTTTTTGTTTGTTTTTTTCTTTTGTTCTGTGAAGGTATGCTAAATGTGCACCTCTGTAAATATTCCCCCTGCGTGCTCTGAGGAATAGTTCCCTGGTACTGTAATTTGCATTAAATAAAGAGTAGGATAGCCTGGAAATGATAAAAAAAAAAAACTGTCTTTCACATCTTCTTTTAGTGTCTTTTTGTCTTCTTCATGGATGTGTTAACATTTTATAAAAGCGTGCAATTTTCCTTTAGTTCTTAGATGCAAAATACCATCAAATGTTCTCAGTGCCCAGACGCATCAGCCCTGGACACCTGTCATTGCTCTTTATTCTCTACAGTGTGAACTACTTATAGTTCAGCATAGTTTGCTCGATTTACTAGATTTTGGCTAAATTTGGATTAACCCTAACCCTTAAGAATCATCCCCATCGATTATTAATCTTTGTTTATTACATTTATCTTAGAAAAGCATACTTTTTCACCCAACAGGTACATTTTAAGACTAAAATTTGGTTTAACACATTACCAGCTTTATTTTTTCCGTGGCACCAACAGATTTCAGTCTCTTATTTTGTCATTTATCCGATGCTCCTGTATGGCCACTAGGTGGCACTGTTTGTCTTGCTGCAAATTGCCCTTTATTTTTAGGATCAATTCTATTCAACTTCATTCTCGTTGTTCACGATCAAAAATGATAAAAATAGAGCCTGAAGATACAAATATATATAAAAGCAAAGATTGTTTTTGCAACAGCAGCTCTTTTCATTCTCAGAAAACAAACACTTCTCTGTGATAAAATTAATTCAGTTGTGATACATTTATATACATTGAGTCAGAAACACTTCGTCATGGTTTAACCATTTATTGCACAAATGGGAATACGCAATGCTTCATTAAGAAAACTGTAAAACTTAGTGCTTCATGGTTTCTATGATATATCTCTTTATGGTTTTAAACTTCTTCTCTCAGTTGAAGGTCACCAGATGAGGAGTCTTTCAGGACTTTTGGGACCTTCTTGGCTCAATAGGTAATTTCAGTGAAATGAAAATGAAACCTATAACACACTTTGACTTTTACAAAAAAATCAAGAAAGTCGCAGCATTAAGTGTTAAAATCAGTAATAACACAACAATCTTTATCCTATTTTTCATGCTATAGATGAGTCAACAGACTGTATCACTTTAACCAGAGGCTCAAACTTACCTTCTTCACCCTCAGTGATCAGCAGCTTAATGAGGAAGATAAATCATCTTTGAAGTGCTCAGTAAGTTACAATAGATATGTTGCTAGTTTACAAATCAACATACGTTACTCTGTATTCTATTCTATTCTATTCTATATCACTGTTAAGTCAGAGCTTTATATTATGGAGACTGTATTATGGATCTTTGTTGGTCTCCAGGTTCCCTGAGTACCTCTCATGTTATGTCCTCTGTCTGTGGGAGTCCAGTCAGCCAGTCTCCTCTGTGCTGACTTTGGTGTTGCCCTGGGGAGGAGTTGAGAAAACCATGTTCTTCCTCTTGACAGCTATAGGAGTCAGAGCACCGCCCTGGTAGATGGGACTAGAGAGCTCCCTGCCTTTATACTGACAGGTGTGGGCCATTACTGGCTCTTTGTCTGATGCCTGGTAGATGGTGACTGCCGTGTTTGTGTTGAGTGGCTGCATCTCCACTCAGATTTCTGTGGCGAAGATTCAGGGTTGACCTCTCCCCCTGTTTGAGCCACAGTTCAGGTTCAGCCATCCATTGTGGCTGTAAAGTAGGGCCCCATGTGGAGCAAGATCAAGTGCCAGGCTGCTGCCTTGCCTCCACCAGTGTTGTCTGACCACTGGTTTCTGCGTTGGTCTTATACCGTTGGTACTTTGATCGTATTGATTGTTTTCTTTTAAATATTTTATTGCGACCCTGAACCAACTGAGTCTCTCACTCTTTGCCTAGTTGTAGGCAGCTGGACGACCTACAGGGATGTAGTCGTGGGACTCACACCACTTTGTGTGCAGGGTTTTAAACCTGAAGTGTGGTGGTCACTAGAACAGTGGGTTGTGGTTGCAGTGGTAGTGATGAGTGTGCTCACGTAGGGGTGTCTATTGTGGTTGCAATATAATCTCACTATGGTATGTACACTACCTGCATAATGGTCCCTGCTATTTAGGTTAACGTGTGTTATACCTCTGTGGTCTCAGTATTTGTTGTTTTAGCTTTTATAAACCTTCAGGAATAAAAACGTATTTATTAACTTATAATTGTGAAGAATGACCCATAGTCTAGTTTGATTCTAAAACAGTCATTCTAAACACACAAACTCTGACAACAAGAGACATAAAACAAATGGACAGAGGCCCTGGTGCAAGATATGATGTCCATGGTGTATCCTGCCTCTCATGCAATGTCAGTTGGGATTGGCTCCTACAAACCCATGACACTAAAAGGATAAACACTATAGATGATGAATTGAGCATAAAAAGTCAGCAGCTACTAAGTTTTCCAAACAAAACCCGCAACATTTTAAGTAGGCAGTGGTTTACTGTATTATTTACATCTTTTCTGATTTGGGATTAAAATAGTGGTTGAGGTGCTGCACTTTCTGTCTAAAAGCCCCATTTGGCCTCTTTTCTATGCCTCCTACACCTTGTCACGCTGACTCAAGTTTCCAGTGGAGGAAGATGACTGGCCTCCTCGGCTTGTTTGACACATGACCGCTCTGTCACGACCGCTTCTGCTGACTCGGCAGGCAGAAAACCGCCTGAGGGGATCTGTCATCAGAGTGTAAAGCCACTGATCAGACTGTTGAAGCGGTGGGTCCAGGTATAGACTGGACATTCATGGTTTCAACAAAGTCATCACACAGTATTGTTTAAAATGGTGAAGATCTGAACACCTGATTTTGTACCTGAAGTCAAAGTGTGAATGTTTTTTGTTTCTTTTTGGCAAAACTGTTAATTTCATCAAGACACATTTATCGTTTTGCTTCATGCGTCTCTATTTTTCCTTTTCTTTCCTCTAAACAGTTGATTTTGACATGAACAAGAAGTCGCTGTTATCAAGGGGAAACAGCCACACACACAGCCACAGAGCCACACAGCCAGACACCCACAAAGCCAGCCTATTTGACGAGCGCTGACCACAGCAACAGGACTTCACAACTCTAAGATGTCTTTGGAAAAGCTAGCTCCTTCCTTGGAGCGTGCCAGCTCACAGACAGCTGGTGAGCGGCTGCCTATGTCTGACGAACAGTTTCTTAAATGAGCTCTCAGGAAAAAAAAGGAGAAGAGGCTTGTGTCTGACTATAGCTCACTGCAGATATTACTTCCTCACATTACTGTTTTGGAGAAAAATCCTCAAACCATCTGCTACACAGAACGTTTCATTCTGTTATGAGCAGCGAGAGAAGATACAGAACTGATTTTTTTTTTTTTATTAACTGTCACAATTGTGATGTGTCACTTTGAGATGTGATAACCACACAAAATATCAGTAATTAAAGTGTCAGTGATTGATCTGTAAAGCGGGGACGGAGCACTGACACCTCTACCTACACTAACACTTGAACCCTAACCCGCTGCATCTGTGTTTTCTGTCAAATATGAGCGTGCTCTTACATCAGCCCACGACCAACAGTGTGCATCTGTGCTTGCTCAGCAGGAAAGATATTTCTGGAAATGTCTATGCTTATTGTCACAACCATCGCAGTAAAACAAACCCCTGAAGTTGTGTCTTCCTTATTATAAACTTTATGATACGCCTTTTTATTTTATTTCATTTTAAGAAGGGTAATAATTCAGCTGATATTTAAAATTTTAATCATACAACCATCAGGAAATGTTATTTAATTGAGGTTTTGGGGTGTTTTTTGGAGGTTCCACTGATGTTCACAAACATTATACATTATACATTATACATCAACATTATGCCTTCAGTAAACTTTTTTTCATTATATGAACCCTATAGTGAGGCATCAATCTAACAATGTCATGCATTCTTCTCTACATACTTTCAAAGAGGGTGATCATGTGACACAGAAAGGAAACTGGTGTCTTGGTTTTAGAAAACATCCTGTGTTGGGGCAAAAATGACAGATGATTGCGAGGATAGCTGTTTGGAGAGAGGGGAAGAGAAAGAAAAAAGGAGGGAGGGATTTATTACTCATATTCGTCCTTTACATTTCTTGAGCACAAGGGCTGTCACAGTTTTTCTCTTTGTCTGGATGAGATGAAGAGACGGCCACGCTCTAACCTCTGAGCTGATTGAAACTGAAGATAGAAAGTGAAGGAGACACCAATTCGATATTAATGTGGAGCAAATTTAAAAAGACTGAGGACTCACTGGACGATCAGACTCGATGCTTCTCTTACTGGAGTGAAGTACCGTCACAGAGGAACGTCTGCAGGAGATGAGGAACATGATGTTGATTTCTGCCATAGTTTTCTTCTTGGTATCTGAAGCGTGGAGCCTCGACCCAGGTTTGATCATAAACACAATTTACTTCCATATAGTTAAATACTTTATACTTTCAAGTTGTGATGAAATCCAGGATTTAGATGTAAACAGGATTTCTATACAGAGATACTCTCTCTCTTTTTTCTGAATGTGTCATTTGAGGTACTTGACACAGCATGTTAATATTTTGCATGAATGTATTATCCTTAACTCTAATTACTCTCCTCATAGTCATTTGTAGTAAAAGGTTTTCCACCTAATGTAAATGTAAGTTTCGCTCTGAGATTTTTCTTATTCCTGTGACTCACAGCTCAGTGGAAAGCACAAGGATGGAGGTGTAATGAAAACTGTTCCATAACAGATCTGCGCCCTATTTTCTGAATGAACAAGCAGCACCTGTAATGGAAATCATGTTATCAGATCAGCTTTTTTTTCCCTCCACTGTGGGGTCTGACGGGTGGGAGTAGCACTCTGTCTGTGCTCACCCCCATCAGAAAAACAAACAAGTCTCAGGCCTCCACAACATGAAATAACTACGGGGAAGTCCTGAGCTTGTTTCACCGAGCAGACGAGAGGAAGAAGACAATGGCAATGACATTATGCCGTTTTATAAGTTGAGCTTTTCCTCTCAGAGATTTCACAATTTCTCCACAAAAACAAATTGCAATTTCTCTCACAACTGTTTGTTATTTACATTTACACCCTAACTGACTAACAAACCAACTAATAACTAATTAAGGACTGAGCAGATCGAACACTCACACACTGTTTAACTAAGCTTTTTACTAATGTTCACGATCGTCTCTCTCAGGAACTAATCAAAGCACCTCTGTGACCTCCAGGATTTATGGTAAACTCATTTTCTTATTTTCCTCTCTGGGTATTTCACTGAAACGTTAAAGGAGACAGTTGACCAACATATAAAATACATTTAAGTCCCCGCTTTTGTCATTAATCCACTTTTTAAGAGTTGAATGAACTAAATGAACGAGAAATACTTTGACATAAGTTACTTCTGAAGTAGAAAGTCTTTATTTTGAATTTGAAGAAGTGAAATGTGAATGAAATATTAAGAGTCTGGACCACATATTCCACCACTGTGAAAAAACATTTGTCATTAATTGAATCTGTTCTTAAAGATCTGGATTTGTTAGATGTGTAACATTGTTCTTAGTAATCATTTACTTTTGCATGATTTTAGATAAAATCTTATTATTTTCTTTTCACACCTCTAATCCAAACTAATCGTTTAAAAAAATAACTATGATCTATTTTATACTGAATTTTATGTCCTTTTAAAAAGATAAGCAATATTCTTTTAACTTTTTTCCTCCAGTTGTCAGAAATCTAATGTTCAACTTGGGCAGTGACGTGAACCTGACCTGCAGTGACAGGGAGTGGAACAACACCATCTATGTAATTTGGAAAATCCAGCACAAAAACTGTGAGATCTCCTTCAGCAACATTACGGGCGAGAAGCTAGACTCCTGCAACGATAGCAAGTCTCTCAGGAACCCCTCCAGGGCTCAGTCGTACCTGCACATCCCAAACCTCTCCGCCGCTGACGAGGGGGTCTACAAATGTGATTTTGTTTTCTTCGGTGGGGAAGAGAGCTATAAGATCAACGTGGCCATCACAGGTAAGAGCTGAAAAAATACTATTTACTGTTACTTCCAGTTACATATATGAATGAATTAATAGCATTATGTCTTTCTGGATACAA